AAACTAGTTGCAAATCATTAAATAATACATGGAAATCATTAAAAAATACAGAAAAATATTTATATATAAAAATTCTGCTGATAAGTTTAATGAAAAATTATTTAAAAGAAAAAAAAGGAAGAAGGTGATGGGGATGCTGCACAAGTCCTCCTTTACATAGACCCAATAAATGCACAGATCTTGAGTTTCTTAAATTATCAATTTTTTTTTTTTATTTATTTCACCCAAAGCATGGCAATAAAGAGACTAAGATACAAGGAGTTAGAGTGTGAAATAATTTGAGAAAAGAAAAAGTGAATAATAAAAGAACAGGAATTAAGAAGACAGAAAATAATGATTGATATTGCACTTACATTTTTGAAGGTCAAAGTTGACTGGAAAAAAATAAGCCGGAGAAGAGATCTACAAGCAAGAATTGCAAGAGAAGAAACTGTTAGCCGAGAAGTTATAGTTTCATCTAGCCATTTCAACTTTAAAATGATGAGATATTGCCACCTATCTAGTAGTACACTTAAATTCATAAAGTCTAGGTTCCAAAGAGGAAAGCTCATCAGAACAATTACCATGAAAATATTTATAGAAAAGAGAAAGAAGTGATGTTATAGTAGTGGGAGAATGACTGAAGCAGAGATGTCAGGTCAAGACCAATAACATTGCAGATTCTTCTTTGTAGTTCATCTAGAAAGTCTAAATACATCGAAGCACCAAACCAGATGTGGCAGCAATATTCAATGCATTGTTAAATGAACTGATAACTTATTTTGCTTTCATTTTTTTGCCGCTTCTCGGATGTTTTAAGTGTGCTTGAGATTTTGCAGAGAAAAATATTTTAGACTTATGGAAAAATATAAAGAGCTTGGTTGTTAACAGTGGTGGGTCCTAAGAAATATACTATGGTAAGCAAATAACACTTAAGATCTTAGATGAAAAATGAATACATTTTATTAACTGGATATATGAGAAGTAGTAACAGACAATATTATCTTAACTTAGCATTTTTAAACATAGTTCAGTTGATTTCCTCTTTCATCAAATCAGCAGCATCTGCTACTGACTGCCATGCATCCTGGATGACTTTAATCTTTCTCCAAATTTAATCTCTATCTCCAGAAATGCCATTCTATTATAGAAAGAGATTACTGCTAATTGACTTTTGAATCAAAGGTAGAGAATTTTCAAGGCAAATATCTGCTTACAACCTTGAAGTGGTTATGTTTGGCATATCTTTCTGTGTAGTGGCAGTTGTGGCACAGCTTCCTGCATTATGTTTAGTAGACGGGTTTGCTAAGCAATGCTCTTATGTTCACTAGTTGTTCTCTATTTATACTTGTCTATCTCATTTGCATACAATACTACAAAAGGGTTTGTTACAGTAGGTATCATTTTTTAAATTGTTTTACTAATGTTCACCCTATACCAGGCCCAAAGGTCACTCAAGGTTGAAGGTTACCGAAGTTGCAGAATTTGGTCTTAATTGTGATGGTGAATGCTGATGACTTTGATTAACTGTCCGTCCATGGATTCAGAAAGACCAATAATGTCTTCTTTATATTTTTTTGCTCCTGGATGTTGAGTATCCCTTCTTCTCTTCCCCAGGCCTCAAGTCTGGACTTAGTTGCTGCCCTTTAATTGAGTTTAGTTGTGAAAGCAGTAAGAGTAAGGTGTGCTTTTTATGTGGATGTATGGGAGATAACAGTTCTGGTTAACCCTAACCTTGAAGAGGCTAAAATTGTAATGTCAGGCAAGCATCCACCTGGGATTCTGTTCCACAAAGCAACAATCCTTGGAAAGAAGACATTCAAGTTGAACTTACTCCTTACTAAAGGATTACAAAGGGAACGAGAGTGGCTCACATCAATGTATAAAGTAGAGTAGGTGCTTAGCTGGGAGTGTTAGATTGATTTATTGTTGAGTTGTTTACCAGCATATCAACCTCTGTGGGTTACTTAATACTGAAACTGGATTTTTATTCAGGAATATTTCAGAACATTGCAAGTGGTTGTGAGGTTTTAAAACAGTTTTCAAAATATCACAAGTTATATAGTTCAGGAGTATTGTTGCTTAAATGAGTATTACTAGGATGTCGCTCATACAATTCAAGATACCGCTGGTTCAATCTGCAATTTCTTGCTTTCCACACACTTCAAAACGTAAATCTGTCTTCCCTCTCTCACTGCTTCAACCCTCTTTTATCAGGACAACACCACGGTTGACCAACCAATCAGCGTTCTTTGCTTTTATTCTCAGTTACCCAGGTAAAAGCCTCCTCTAGTTCGACCAATCAGAACATGACTTGCTATTGGTCGAAGCATGCCAAACTGTACAAAACCCTTGTTACCACACATACTGCTGGAATTGCTAGACAGGAGAGTAATGCCATTTTCAAGGAGCAAGTTTATTATTTAGGAACATGTCACAAATTGCTTGACATTTTCTCTTGATGTGTTGCATAATTTTCTTTTTATAATCTGTATTTGGGAGTTTGATGATGTTTAGTTTCATTTTCATTGCATCTTTTGCCCAAGTGTCGGCTTCATGAGTTTCTTTAATGCCCATATGGCTCGGAATCCAAGCCAATATTACTGTTTTGCTGGCCAAGGATTATTTGATTAATGAATGCCGAATATTTCCTTATAAGGAAACGGCTCATATTACCATTAGAGATGATGGATGGATGGATTGTTTATGTTTTTTTTACCAGCATATCAACCTCAGTGGGTTATTTAATTCTGAAACTGGATTTTTATTCAGATATATTTCAGAACATTTCAAGTGCTTGTGAGGTTTTAAAAGTGTTTTCAAAATATCACAAGTTATATAGTTCAGGAATATTTTAAAACTTAAGTTGTATGGTTCAACATGATTGCTCTATTTTCTATAGAAGTTAGAAATATTTTATTTTCCTCAGATATCCTATTATTTAGGCAATAGGTACATTTCTGAAGAGCATGTTAAGATTTAGAGCTTGGTAATAGTTGCTATGTATTTTTTGTGCTCCTTACATTCTATCAAGATATGTTTGACTGTGAGAAATTGGTTGCAGTGAGTAGACTGGAGTATAGTTTCTGCTTTAAGCATATATGTGTGTGTTGAGTGGGTGTGTCCAATTTTTATTCTGCCAAACACTGTCTTGTCTGTGATCTGCTAATGCCTATATTCTTTGTTATTGTCGGCTGATGTTCATATAGTTTATTATTTTGGAACATGTCCCAAATTGCTTGCCATTTTTTTCTGGGTGGGTTAGAGTTGGGAGAACTAAGGAAAGTAGTTTGAACATTTTCCATGGAAAGAGCAACAGAGTAGGGAGAAGCTTGCAATATTTCATTTAAGGAAGGGAGTCATAAGGTGGCGAACAATTCATCACACAAAAGGCTTCTTAGATGCTTTCAGACTATCGAGCTCCAACCCAGATACAGACTGGAATGGCTAGATGAGAGAGTAATGACATTTTCAAGAAGCAAACATGCCAATGCCATGCACCGCACATTGAGATAAGACCCTTGTTTTCTTATGCACCTGATGCAAGCCACTCTGGCTCGCTTGCTTCTACATGACTGTTCACTACAAGTATTTTAAAACGTATAGTTCAACATGCATTCTCTATTTTCTATAGAAGTCTGGAGTATTTTATTTTCCTCAGGTATCCTATTATTTGAGCAGTAGGTACATTTTTAAAGAGCATATTACGATTTAGAGCTTGGTAATAGTTGCTATGTATTTTTTGTGCACCTTACATTCTATCAAGATATGTTTAACTGTGAGAAATTGGTTGCAGTGAGTACACTGAGGGACAGTTTCTGTCTTGAGCATGTATATGCATGTATGTTTCCAATACTTATTCTGTCAAGCACTATGTCTTGTCTGCAATCAGCTAATGGTTTTATATTCTCCTTTCTTATTGTCGGCTGATATTCATATAGTTTATTATTTGGGAACATGTCCCAAGAATTGGGAGAACTAAAAGAAATAGCTTGTTTAAACATTTTTCATGGAAAAAGCAATAGAGTAGAGAGAAGCTTGCAATATTTCATTTAAGGAAGGGAGTCATAAGGTGGCGAACAATTCATCACACACAAGGCCGCTTAGATGCTTTCAGATTATTGAGTTCTAACAAAGATACAGAGGGACCGAGCTCTGAAAAAGGTTGAACATAGCAGGAGTCAGATACTTACTGGAACTGGACATTGAATATGATTAAAGTGTTGTATGATACAATTAAAATAATACCTTAATTTTGATAAAGATGAATTTTTTTTACAGAATAATTTTTTATAGGAAAAGCAATGTATACCTCACTTCTCAGGAATACATGCCACTAGTTGTTGATGGATGTATGTTTATGTTTTAAATGGACAAACATTTGTCTATATTTCCGAGATGAGGTATTAATTACACTATTTACATTATTCGGACTATTGTTCTCATCTTCGTCACCATATTTATTACAATGTTTCCACCATTGTACACTCCGGCCTTCTTCAGGTGGTTGGAATGTCAAGGACACACGGCACAGTGAATAAAGGTGTTGGTTAGATCCAGTGACAGGACCCAAAGAGTGTGAGTTCAATACCCAGTTAAGGCAGTGGAGAACTTGAAGAGGGGAATTAACAGGAGATAACTGATAACTGACATCCATTAAACATGGCACATGGAACTAGAGCAGTCTACCTCAGTGAGTGAAATAATGGGTTCAGTTCGACATTCCAACTGCCTGAAGAAGGCCGGAGTGTACAACGGCCAAAATGTTGTAATAAATATGGTGACAAAGATGAGGACAATAGTCTGAATAATGTAAATAGTGGACAAACATTTATTAAAAAATATATTCTATTTAAACATGGATTGATTGAAGAATCTGTTTTCTATGGCTTATCCCTTTGAAGATTATTTAAAGCCAGAAAATGGTGGATTGATACCATACCCAAGGGTACTTGCACGTAAGTAAATATAATGAACTCGACTTGAACTGGAACGCTCCATTTTATCACCCACACATCCAGGCTTACAGCACCTGATGTTCCCAAGCGATCACCCATTTAGGTACTGACCAAACACAACATTGCTTAACCTCAGTGATCATATGGAAACTGGTGTTTAAACATGCATTTAAGAACAGAAGAGTCATAAAAATGACTTCAGAAAGCTATACTTTTCAGCTTATACTCATTTCTTGAGGCCAGTCCTCATAATGTTGGAGATTAAGCTGTGGAAATCTTTGAACCGTCTAAATGTAGGATTTTATTGTTCATACCAAGGTAGATGTTGTTTAGACTAAGCGAGAAGGGAATGTATTATTCCAAGGCCTTATTTCAAACTCAGGCAAAACATGTGAGCATATGGGCATACATTAAATGTACTCATTAATGCACAACAGACCTACGCATATATATTACATACATGCATGCAAAATCATGTGAAGATAAAGTGACAGGCAGACAATAGGCTCTTCTTTAATAATATAGATTTTGTAACAAATAAGAATATGCTTAATTATTGCTGTTTGTTTTTACCCCAACCCTCTGGTGATGGGCAGTCTATATTATTTTTGGATCTTTATTCCATATCATTATTGTTGCATTTACCCAAAAAGACTGACAAGGTACCCTGTTAAGTATTAAATTATTACTAGATTTATTCTCTTGGTTTCCCTCCTGAGGCCAATATACTCCTGATGAGGGGGCTATGCTGATGAACAGAAAATCCTCTGTCAAATATCCCAAAAACAGGACTCAAGCTTTCCAGAAAATATGATACAAAATTGAAAAAAAAAATTCAGGATCTTGGCAAAGGCTATCCTTCTTCGAACATTGTGGACTGGTGCTACAGAATCACAAAGAGAAATATCAGATAACAGAAACCACATCACTCGAGGACTTTCAACGACAACAGCTAAAATGGATAGCACTTGTAACTAGAAGAGAAAATAACAATGTTGACATTTCACACTACTTTAAACAAAATGTAAGGAAGGAAACCCCCATCAATACTGGAAAGAGCAATAACAGCTACTGGACTTGAGAAACCTATTTTCCTGAAATACTGTTTTAAGAAAAAGATTTTATAAATTTCAATCAAAAGCCATACTGGCTGCTCAATCAATGAATGCTGAATATTTCCTTGTGGGAAAACAGCTAATATAACTTTAGCTAATATTAATGTTGCTATTTTATCACAACTATCTACATACACACTTCATTAATACTATTATATAAAATAGTTGTCTAACCTTTTCTCAAGTAGATCCATTATGATCAAAGAATAATGAACATTATGTTAGGTAGACTCATCTGTGAATAAGTGAAGACCATCTTTTTTTTGAACATTGTGGACTGGCAGAGCAGAATCACAAAGAATTGTACCAAATAACAGAAACCGCATCACTTGAGGACTTTCAAAATTAGCAACAGCTAAAATGGATATACCATATAACTTGTGAAAATAACGACAATGAATATGTTGACAATCCACACTACTTCAAAAAAAAAGTTACTGATGAATTAGAAGCCATTGTCAAAATGCAAGATAAATAACACAAAAAGAATTAATAAAGATTGCAAGAAAAAAAAGGTTAAAAATGAAATAGTAACAAGCAAGTAAACATATGTAAAGCAAATGAACAGGTAAGGCGGCAAAAGAGTTCACAAACTATGATTTGGTGTTTGCATACAAAAGCAAGGTTGGACAAGCAAATGCAGTGGGTCTGTCTAGTAGATAAGGCAAATCTGGACTGAGTCATGTCAAAACACAAAGCATCCCACTTTATTGGATAAGAAAAATATCCCAGCATGCATTTTGAAGACTTTTGCCTATAAAAGGGGAGGGGAAAAGTTTTGCAATCATTCCCCACTTTGTGAAATCAACGGTTAGGAAGGAAACCCCTATCAATACTGAAAAGAGCAATAACAGCTACTGGACTTGAGAAACCTATTTTCCTGAAAGATTTTTATAAATTTCAGCAGTTCGGCCAATGAATGCTGAATGTTTTCTTATAAGGAAACAGTTAATATTACCATTATTATTGTTACCATGTCACCCAACAGTCAGGCTAGATACACACATCATTATTATTATTATTATTATTATTATTACCAGTTTCATTTCATACTTATTACTTAAACTCAACATGGTGTAATGATTGGCTAGATTAGTCTGATTAAATATATATTTTTTTAATCAATTCCCTTCAAGCAAGACAATAATGCAACTAAGATGCAAGGGGCTACTGGGAGTGAAAGAGAATTAAAAAAGCTTTGAAAGGAAACAGAAATTCAATCCTAAACAGGGAACAAGTGATAAACCTCTGCTACTGTTCAAAAGATTGGGGAGGGGTGTGAACCAGACAACAGGCAAATCTATCTACTACCGAAGAGAAAAAAAATTACTAAATAAAATTTCAGAGTTCAGGCAGAGACATTACAAAAAGTCTTTAGAACAAAATGGAAACCCAATCCTAAACAGGAAACAAGGGATAAACCTCTACTCCTGTTGAAGAGACCAGAGAGGAGTGTGACTTGGGCGATGGGTAAAAGAGGACTCATGATCAAAATTTGGCCTGAAGTTATTTTCTACATAATGAAATTGAAAAGAACAGATCTGCTGAGAAGCTGTACAACTGAAAGTCGTTACTGGGAATCAGTTCAGTGAGTTGTTTCGAAAACTATTTTTTTGATAGCAAGGAATTTTGGAAGATCATGAGTGAAGCAAATTTGGAAGGTTTTAGACATATTTTTACAGCTGATTTTAATCTTTCATCTAATACATTGTTCTATTTCATGGTGCTGCATATATTAAATCTTGTTTTCAGAATTCAGTTAATATCTTGCAATATTCAATAAAAGGAAGGTTTGCTTTGTTTTACAGTATATCAACCTCAATAGGTTATTTAATGCCAACAAAATTTTTTACTGCTGGCAATATTTTGTTTTGTCAAAAAACTATTTTTGGTAATATTTTTCCTTCAAAAATGTATTGCTGGTAATAATTTTTTTACCAAGTATTTCTGGTATTAAAACCTATTTTTACACTTTCATAATGTTTTTACCCCAGTTTAGGGGTTAACTATTTGCCTATAGCTGGGACTCTAACAGGTGCTACCACCCCGGGTCATGGTGAACCTGGGAACATCAGCAATTAAGAAGTGGTTCCACGCTCCTCAAAACCTCCTGATTAGAGGTAATTTATCGTTTTACCCAGGATGCCCAGTGTGAAGTTCTTCATAGAACTACTGGTCTCATTTTTTGTGTACTAACATGTGTTACCTCTCGGCCAAATTTATTTAAAAGGAAGGAGGACAAAAAAAACAAAATAATAGAGTGAATATGAAAAACATCTGAAGAAGAAGAAGAAGAAGAAGAACAACCAGAATGCAACAGCCTAAAAGAAAATACCTACAAGGCTGAAATTACTTCAAGTATTTCAGGGGAACTATGGACATTTTCCTTTAAAGATATTCAAACAAATTCTAGAGACAGATCAATATATATTGTTATCATTTCAAAAAAATGGAATTGGTGAGCCACCTTCAAATACCAGCCGAGGCTGTTTGGTTTGATTTAACGGTATATCATCTCGTTAAGGTTCATTTAATGCCAAAATTTAATTTTCTTGTATTGAAAATTCCTTTCAACTCAAAGGCTAAATGAGAAACCATTTGGGTATAGTAAGTGTTGTGAAACACTGCCTCGTCTTGCAACCCAAAATTCAATCAGAGATCAATTAATAATGAGAGAAGAGGAGAACCTGCAGAATGACTGTTCTCAAAGTCCCTCTCACAAAAAAAAAAAAAAAGATGAGACAGAAAGGAAGGCAGGCCTTAGGTAACAAGGCGGCTGTCCTACACATCCCATCACTTCTGGTAAAAAGATTACAAAAAACAGTGCTCGGGGCAGCCTCACTTTGAGAAACACGTCATGACAAACATTCCACCTCCCACACCTGACCGCAACCAAACTCACACAGGTAATTTCACTTATTTTTCCACATTTGGGAGCTTTGGTAATTCCTTTATTTTTATTTTGTTTTAACATAATCCTGCTCAGTGAAAATGTATTTTTATATTTTAACACCAATTTTGGGGGACCCTAACAGGTGCTACCATCCCATTGAGTCTGTTTGCATTTATTTTGCATTAATATTCTTAAGAAAGACACGAGTCTATCCCTTTTCTCCTTTATCTATAGGTGAACTAGATAAGGCCAATGCCAGATTAAGCTAATAGAAAAAGTAACAAAATGCTACTGAAAGAAATTTTCTTTCATTATTTGTTAATTGATTTTTTTTTTTTTATTTATTTTTATTTTTTGAAACACGCCCTCCCATTTTTTGGGGTGGAGAGGGCTTGCAAAATTAGCAAAATAATGATTGCTTATTTTGCATACATGATTTGCTTTTTCTGCCCAAGATTTTACATTGGCAGGAATTTCTTGCCAACTTGAAGACTGTCTTGTTTCATATATATTTTGCTTTTGACAAGGGAGGATGATGGGTCTATTTTTTGCCGCCTTCTCTCAGATTACAAAAGACCTTTTGTAACAAAAAATAAAAGAAACTTACTGTAGTCTTATGTAGAGAAAAGACTACAATTATTTTTTTTCTTCCCTTATGTGTTGAAATTTTTCAGCACTTGTATATCTTAAAAATTTCTATTCATGTTCATCTTCATCTCAAGAGGACCTTTTTCTTTAGCATTGGGATATTAATGCTAACCCATTGTTGCATGGACTTCATGCCCAGTGTGAAGTTCTTCATAGAACTACTGGTCTTATTTTTTGTGTACTAACATGTGTTACCTCTCGGCCAAGAGTTCACTAATATCATTAAGCTACCAATTTGGAGTGACACACTCCAAATCCCAAAATAGTTAACAGGCTAAATTTGAAAAATAACCAGGTAAGCACACAATGGCATTTTTCTTTTTATATTCCTGTTTGCTTGTTAACAACTGGTATCTTTTTGTTCTTAATCAGCTTGTCAAGCTTCCAACCAATTAAAATATTTCCGTAAAATTTTTTTTTTTTCTTCCTAAACGTTTTGGATATTTTTGTGATGTTTAGTCATAATCTAATAAACATGTATGTTCCTAACATTTTTGTGATGTT